AACCAACCAACCAGCCAACCAACTAACCAGCCAGACAACCAACCAACCAACCAACCAACCAACAAACCAACCAGCCAACCAACAAACCAACCAACCAACCAACCAACCAGCCAACCAACTAACCAACCAACAGACAGCCAACCAACCAACTAACCCTGACTGCTGCACAAGTGCATTCAACTTCCTCTCCTCCTCTAAGAGTGACTGCCTCTTTGTGTCACACGACAACACGCTCTCAATAGCAGGCGTGTCATCTCCCACTACCTGAAATGTGGTGTGTGTAATGTGTGTGTGTGTGTGATGGGGTGTGTATGTGTGTCATGTGTAATGAGTGCGTCTGTGTAAATGTGAATGTGTGTGGCGCGCGTGCGTGTGTGTGGCATGTGTGTGAGTATCTGTGGCGCGTGTGTGTATGTGTGTGTGTGTGTGTGTGTGATCATCCTCACCATCAACATCATCCCGACAAACCTCCTGTTCTACGTGTAGCACAGTCAAATGTGGGGGTATCCGCAGCTGTCTGCCAGCCAGCATCCTTAACAGAGTCGTCTTACCCATCCCATTTCGACCCACCAAGCCATACCGCCGACCGTACGATAGCGAAAGGTCTGCCCCCGATAACAGGGTTCTGCCAAAGGGGGAAAAGGAAGAGTGAGGTGAAATTGAAAAAAAAAATTCCATTTACATTCGTTATTCTATATAAAATGACATCAAACCCAACACCATAATAACGATGTCAATATTAATTAGAAATTAGAACGATTTCAAAAATGAAATTGCTGATGATAGCAAAATGCTCTCTCTCTTTCCTTCTCTCTCTCTCTCTCTCTCTCTCTCTCTCTCTCTCTCTCTCTCTCTCCCTCTCTCTTCACTCTTCACTCAAACTCACACACACACACAAACACACACATATAAACACCGAAACAAACTTTTCACCAAAGGCCATGTCAAAATTTTCAATCTTAACGTCATAGGTCTTGGTGGAACCGCTGGCATCTGCCTTGGTGTCCTTGCGATTTACTTGCTGGCTGGCACTGGGCAGATCCAAAACACTGTTTATTCATTCAGTCGTACCTTCAGTCATTCAGTTATTTGTTCTTTCATTCAACCAACCAACCATTCGTTCAGTCATTCAGTTGTTTGTTTTTTTCATTCATACATTTGTTAGCTCAACTAGACGTTCATTCATTTGTTTGACTGTTTGTTTGTCTGTTCGTTTACTTAGTTACAAGTCAATGTTATGAATTTGTCAAGCAAGTAACTGCTATTAATATACTAGATAAATGTTACCTCACACACGCAAAACACAAACGCACACACAGACAGACACACACACTCACACACACATACATAAACACACACATAAAACATCGTTCATTACCAAACATTTCTGGATGCTTGGATGGTTAAAAAATTAAAAAAAAAACAAAACAAAGATAAAACAAAAAACAAAGAAATCAAATACATGTTCTGTTTTGGTTTTGAATCAGACGCCTGCTGTCGCCTCTCTTGTTTGTCTTTCAATTTTGATTCGGCTTTCTCCAGCTTTTTTGTGTCAACCTTCTGCAAAATTCGCCCGAAGATAAGAAATAAAGTAAAAAAATACCTGAGAAAACATCAAAATTTTTTTAAAATGATGAACAAAATCAGAAAAATACCACAAAAAACATCACAAAAACAATTTTTTTCCACACTCAAATATCTTTCCTTAACAGAAAATGTTGGAAAGAATCATTCCAGCTGCTTAGGCTATAAAAAGTTAACTGAGTAGAATGTTCTGACTAATGACAAAGGTAATTTTCATCATTATCTTTTTGTGATTGGTTTGCAAAATTGAGAGGCAACCAATAAAGTCAGTCAGACAGTCAGTCAACCAACAAACCAACCAACCAAACAACCAGCCAGCCTGCCAACCATCCATCTAACCAGCCAGCCAGCCAACCAACCAACCAATTAACCAACCAACCAATCAATCAATCAATCAATCAATTAAAAGTGAATCTAACCAAAATATTAAGTTTCTTTTCAATCCAGATATTCATATCATCGGCATCAGCACTGCCCTCCGGTAGAATTTGGAAGGGTGTATCTAAAGCCCTCAGCTCTCTGGAACTAGAGCTTGTGGATAAGCTTCCATTCTCTGATCTTCATAAGTCAGCATTAACATTTTTAGTAAAATTAAAAAAATTTATTAAAAAATATTACTGCAAAAATTTAGAAAGCTTTTCTGAAAATTAAATTCTGAATAATTCAACACTAAATAAAACCCAGCAACTAATTAGTTACTATAAATTAATTAGAATCAATTAATACTAAAAAAAGCTGTAATCATCTTTTGAATTAATTATTAATAATAATTAGTTAGAATAAATTAATTAGAATCAATAAAAAAAAATTGAAATTATCTTTTGAATTAATTATGAATAATAATTAGTTAGAATAAATTAATTAGAATCAATTAATAATAATGAAAAAACCGAAATCATCTTTTGAATTAAATATGAATAATAATTAGCTAGAATAAATTAATTAGAATCAATTAATAAAAAAAAATTGAAATTATTTTTTGAATTAATTATGAATAATAATTAGTTAGAATAAATTAGTTAGAATCAATTAATAAAAAGAAACTGAAACCATTTTTTGAATTAATAATTAATAATTACCCCTTGGCAGCCTTTAATAGCTTGCTGCAGAAGTCCAGAAGGGAATCTCCATCCCCATCAACATTCACCTCAACAAGAAAGTGCCCCAATGCATCGTAAACGTCGTCTGCCGTTTCAAAATCATCAATACTATCTGACAGCACACCTGGAAAACAACAATAATGATACACTTTAGTTTAGATTTATATAAAAAGTATCATCTATAATAATTACTAACTAACATAAATTTAATGATAAATTGATAATTTAATATATTAAATATTAGAGATGCACCGGATTTAGGTTTTACAAGTCCGGCCTGGATCGGACTTGGCCGGATTTAAAATTTAAAAACCGGCCGGCCAGAGCCAGAGATTATTTATCATTTTAAATGCTTTAGAAAAAATACTCACATTTACGGTTATCTACATGCTGAACATCAAAAAATAACATTAAGCAAATAAATAATTAATTCAAATATATAGATAAGCTGTGTGATACACCAAATTCTGTACACAAAGATCAGCTTATAATTTATGCATAAACCATGTTATAGCAAAAAGAAAATTGTCCAGCTCACCTCACAATTAGTGATGTTGCTATTATGTGTCTGTATGCTTAGCCTTTAACTTAGTGACATAAAATTAATTGAATTCAATAGAAATTTTTTTTCTATTTATAACATTTTAAAATGTTGATAGACGCTTAAATCCTGCCCTAAATCCGGCCACTAAATTTGGCTACAAAATCCGGCCGGGGCCGGATTCAGTTGGATTTAAAAAAAGCTAGATTTTGGCCGGGGCCGAACTTCGGTGCATCTCTATTAAATATTAAATTATCAATTAATTAAATTCTCAGATATAACATACATTGTACGTAATCTGTAATCATTGAAATCAACGTAATATGGCGTAGTAATGTAACATGTAATGTAATCTGTAAAATCAATGCAAGTGAATTAGTTGTAAACTGTAAGCGTGTGTACATCAAGTGTAGAGTTATATAAAAATAAATATAAATAATTAAATATAAATAGATAATAAAATATATAATTTAATACATAAATATATATAATTATAAATAGAGTTTCTAAGAGAACTCGTGAACACAGAGCGATATTTGAAGCTTTTAGGTTTTTAAAATTTCATTCATTAATAAAATAAAGACTTAATCTGTAAAAAAAATTCTAATTAAAAATCTAATTTTTACCTAATATGTAGGAAACGCACTGTTCGTCTATGTGGGGGAAGAATTTATAAATTAGTTTTTCGCAATTTGAAGACATATTTAAAAGTTAATCTAATTAGCCCCGATGTAAACAATAGAGCCTTTGATTTTGGCTACAGAAATATGCATAGATAAAATTTTCTAAGCACATATACAGCATATATGGCCATGGATATTATATCCATGTATATGGCTAGAATAAAAGTATGATACCAGGTATAATATCACCGTGTATCATATAATATTATCATATTATGTATAGGGTATCATATGATAGTATCACGTATAGTATAATATAATATAAATATATATATTTATAAGTATGATATAATATAATATCGTGTACAATACTGAAATACTCGCAACTAAACAAGCAAATAAATAATATATATTAAAAAAAATTTATTAAGTATTATAAATAACATAATAACAAACAATAAAATGTCTAATTTTTCTGACATTAATAAATTAAAAAGAAATATAAAAAAGTTGAACAATGTTGAAAGTAGTGTTGAATTTTTGAAATGTTGCGTAAATAACTTAAGTATATGTATAAAAACCAATCCAACTTTATTTAGTATTTTCACAGAAGATTTGTATTAGGTATACAAACTACACGAGAATGGATATAATATATTATATATAATATATATATATATATACATATACATATTATAATATATATATATATATATATATATATATATATATAGTATATTATATATATTTCCATGACCATGAGTTACCATAGTAACAATAGATTTGGTTATATTGTCAAATTAAAGTACTCTATTTTGTATTATATCTAAATAAGAATTAAAACGTTAGAATATGCATGAAACTATTGATTTAACCATCTCTACACTCATAAAAAAGAGATTAACTATTGTGGATTCAAATATTTTTTGTAACGTATCTATCATATAAAAATTTAACAAAAAAAAATCACCCGGCTGTTATTTAAACGATCAAACTGAAATATCACCACCATCCACTCAACGTATCACTTCACCAAGATGAATTCATCACGAAGGAAAGCCAACGACAGCACTACCCCCAGAAAAAAAGATGTGGTGAAAAAATTGTACAAAAAATACGAAAAAAACTGCACCCAAGTCGACCAACTCATGCTGCCTTCTATAAGGAAAGCCCTGAGGAGATGCATCCAAGAAGGAATACTTTGCTTCAAGGCTCGTTTCAAACTAATTTTTTTTTCAATTTATACCAGAATTTTTTTATTTTTGTATGTCGTTTAATTTTTGATGAAATTAATTTAAATATATCGCCACTATTTATTATTAGCAAGCTGAAAAATTATTAAGTATTTGCGTTGATGTCATTTGGCTTTAACATGCTGTGACCAGCTTTAAATGCGTAAAGCCATTTCCATCAATTTTTATGTTATTTCATAAGCACGCATTTGTGTAGAGGGTAGAAAACTACAGAAACAGCATCAAGTAAATATTGTTGGTTGACTGATGACGATCGATTCATATTTCAACACTTCCTTACACGGATCAGTTCATAGCGGAAAACCCGTCAAACAACACAGCGAACACGGATCAGATGGATGAATTCGAGATCGTCTACTACAACACGCACTGCAACCATAAGAACGATGTCTACAACCTCTTCCCACTGTTTGAGGCCCTGAAGCAGGAGAGGTACCTACACGTAAGGTCTATCTACGTCTGGAGTGTGCAAGTCATCCTGCAAGATGTCGTTTCCCTGGTGAATTTTTTTTCAAATATTATATAGTATTATAATTCTATTATAATACTATAATTCTAGTATTATATCCTATAAATCATCCAACAATTTTGAAAAATAAATGTTGCAACTAGACTCAACATTTACCTAATATTTTAAAGAGATAAAATGGATACATTACAGTTAGAACTATAGAGACGTGTAGGTGTATAATTTTAAAAATTTGACATTTGATCCGAACGTACTCTTGAAATGCCAGTTAAACAACTACGCAAACGAACGAGGTAATGATGACGTAAGAAAGGATAATAAAAATGAAAAGATAATAATTTAAAAAACCATAATTATTATCTTTTTTAACCATTGAAGTCCTCCCTGTTCACCATCAGCATCTACCCAATCAAACACCTGGAACTCATCAATTGCAACCTCACCGGCCAACTGGTTGCCAGGCTTTCCAGGTAAGTTGATCTATGCTTATAAGAGTTTGCCCACTTTAAGTTTTTTTAAGGGTTGTGTATCAACTTTATCAGATACATCTGTGTATGCGTCATGAAACTTCTTTGAATATGATCCGTTTAAGATCTTTAAATGTTACAGAAACAATGCTAGCTTGCAGCTCAAGATAGCAGCCTAAATCGTCATATTGATCAAGTAACTAATTTTTAATATGACAAAATAGCCGCGAAAAAGTCTAAAAAAATAAATTTATATGGTTCTCTCTCTAGAACTAACTATGTAAAAAATGAATATAAATGTAGAATCGGTGCAATGTCATTCTGTATTTTTTATTTTGCTTTGAAATCAAATATTGTGCATATAGTATTATGATGAATGGATTTTTTTAAATTTAATTAATTCATTTAAATAGATAAATTCATTAAAATATTGTTTAAATCCTCCTCGCCAGAGATTTCATGTACTGTCCTACTTTGATATCTCTGGTGCTCGATCAAAACAGGTCATCATCGATATTCCCTTCATCGTTGATTAGTATCTTAGCTTATTTTTATCAATATTTAGCAAGACAAGTCTGTTACGAAACGATTAATTTAATGAAAATTAAACGAAAAAAACAAAAAAAATAAAGATAATGAGAATATTTTTAATCTACTGAAACAACTGATTTCATGTGGACGTTGCGGCGACAGTCTCGGCGACGAAGGCTGCGTGAAGCTAGCGAAGAACTTGAGAGGCAACCGGAGCATCAGGTGGGATTTAAAATAAATAAATAATAATAATAATAATAATAATGGGAACATCTTTTATTTTTCACCATAAAAAACATATATTTAATTAGCATCATAGCTTGTTCCTGTCACAGTAAATGTCATACGATAATCTATAATAATAACAATAATAATAATAATAATAACGATAATGATAATAATGATAATAATAATAATAATAACATGCTGTGATACGCGTGTGTGCATTGAGTCAGGTTACAGTAGTATCGTGACTGTAACAGCTTTCAATCATTCATTCATTCATTCATTAATCCATTCATTCATTCAATAATTGAATCTATCAATCAATCAATCAATCAATCTTCGTTTTGCGTCCAGAGACCCGGTTTCCCGAGGTAGGACGTTGTTTTCTTTGCCATCAACTTCAACTTCAATAATTGAATCTATACAGTTTTTAAAAGTATTCAAATCTTTTGCATCAATTGCTTTTTGAGATAAGTTATTCCAATTTCTGACTATACGATTTGTAAAAAATCATTCCAAGTATGATGAGCTATTGTATTAACTGATCCTAGGAAGATTATAGGTTTGAAATCCGTTACATCCCATACACCATCGTCGTCCTAATCGTCATCAGATCGGATCATGAACGTCATCATCATCAGATCGTATCTTATCAAAGAACTAAATTATCATCATCATCATCATTGTTGTCATTATCGTTATTGTTGTACTCGTCAATATTATTAGCACACACACACAAACAAAGAGAGAGAGAGAGAGAGAGAGAGAGAGAGAGAGAGAGAGAGAGAGTACACTCACACAGACACACACACTACACAGATGTTTGAGTCTAAAAACATGTGGCATAACTTGGAACGGATGTCATCACATCGGGAAATTGGTCGCGACTACAGCCATAAGGTAAGATGTGTAATGACGAAGACGATGATAATGGTGATGTTTATGTGATGACTCAATGGTTAAAGGCGCTTGGTTTTACTGCTGCAGTGACTGTGTTCGAATGCAAAGAGATCCCAGCCTATCGTATGCAATGTGTTTGATGCGTGGTTTTCACGCGTATTCATATACGCCGTGTGGGTTTGTCGTTGAAATCTCTGAAGCAAGCGCAAAAGAAAGGGTAACTTTTAACCTTTAACCTTTTATGAAGGTTACCATGATGAGGTTTTTGATTCAACTGACTAAATGCCTTCAAACAAATATCTGGAAATGTTATTAACATTATTATTATTAGCTATTATTATCTATTCATTATTGTTACCATTATTATTATTATTATTTATTATTATTATTATTTATTATTATTATTATTGATTATCTTCGTGATCGTCATAATTTTGGGAAAATTCTTGGGGACAGAGAGCTCCATATGGATGACAATGATATCATGAGCGTTGGCTTGCACGAAATCATATACCCCCTTGTTCAACAGGTTGTGTGTGTGTGTGTGTGTGTGTGTGTGTGTGTGTGTGTGTGTGTGTGTGTGTGTGTGTGTATGTGTGTGTGATTTTAGCTAAACTTTAATTGTTTTTTTTGATTAATTATTTTTTTGTGGTTAAAAAAAAATTAACATGAAAAAATTAACATTTCTGCCAATATGACTCCGAATAATTTGTATTTGGCTATCAATTAAGACATTTAATCAGCTATCAATTAAGACGTTTAATTAGCTATCAATTAAGACTTTAATTAGCTATCAGTTACTATAAAATTGGTTATCTATTAAAACGTTTAATTGGCTATCAATAAAGACGTTTAATAAAGACAGTTACAATAAAATTGGCTATCAATTAAAACGTTTAATTAACTATCAATTAAGACTTTTAATTGGCTATTAATTATGAAATCAATTTTTTGGCGCTAGGTGGAGCACGAGATTGAAACTCGAAGAAGAGAGGAACTCGAAATTAGGAAGTTGTTGAAACAGCAGGAAAAACAAAAAATAGGTGATGGAAATTAATTTTTATTTATTTATTTAATCGTTTTTATTCATTTATTTTATTTATATATTTTTGAATATATTCAAAGTAACTTAAATATAATAATTTTTTTTCGATTTTCAAATCAGACGAGAAACTGAAGGAGGGAATAATTGGAATACTGGCGGCAGATGACGACAGTATGTAGCGGTGATGGCCGGTTTGAATGTTTTGCTATAAAAAAAAAGGTTAAAGGTTGAAAAAATGTTCACAGGAAGAAGCAAATAAATAAATAAACCAACTTTATAATCAATTTCTAAAATAATTTAATTAGTTTCACATACGATATTTAACTCACCTATTTAGATAAGAGCCTAACCCCGGACAACAACAACAACAATAACAACAACAGCATAACCAACGATACAAATGACAGTAACGTCAAAGACAGTAAAAACTACGCAAACAACGACATCAACAACGACATCAGTAAAGACAACAACAACCAAAAAAACATTAAAACGAAAAAGTATTCAACGACATTGAAACCTAGAAGTAGCAGCAACCCGTCATCTACAAACGCTACTACTAACAATTCAGATCTTCCTCCTGTACCAAGTGTGGGTCCCTGGCTGGATCAGTTGCATGTGGGGAGAGTGAACCTCTGCCATCACGTGCCTGACGAGGTGGTGTTGAAAGAAATGAAGATGAAACTCAGGAAGCAGGTCGACTGATGAATGAATGGCATTATTGATAGTTAAGTTTGCCATATTTTTGACACAAAAAATTTAAAAAATGTGTTTGAATCAACAACTTTCATCTGAATAATTTCTGTTAGATATTCTAGAGCGTCAAATAATTTAACTGTTATTAAAACGTAAAATTGGTTCAAGTGTGAATTACCCCGCTTATTTACTGTAAAATAAAATCGAATCCGTGCGTGACGATTACATATTTTTATTTTAAAACATGACCCAAAAAAAAGATTGTTTAAATTTGAAACAAACAAACACAAACAAACAGTCGTACAACATCCAGGGCATGACGGAGGGCAGCGGCAATCATGATGACGTCAACAACAACAACAACAACAACTGTGACCGGATGTTTCTCTCTTTTGAGGATTTGCGAATAAACTCTCGCTCTCAACGGCCACACAATCCCCACTTATTGCCAACACCTCAAGAACAAAATGACGTCACAGATGACGACTTTGACGTCACAAATTTACAGATTCATTCGAAACAGTTATTCATCATCGCCATGCAGAAGCTTGCCAAGTGAGTTTGGACTGGATGCAATTTAAAACTACATTCAATTTCATCCGAAAATAATTATGACACTTCCATTTTAAGCATTAGCCGCTATTATATTATTATTTATTATTATTATTAATATAATATTATTATTATTTATTATTATTATTATTAAATAAACTCAACAACTTTTAAAACATACTTTCAGATAATAAAAATGATGAATAAACCAATTCCGAAGTTCATTTAGAGACTAACTTTAACTTTAACATTACCGACGCGCTGCAGATGGATTGGCTCCAGCGATACACTCAAAGAGTTGGACCTGATGGGAAACGAGGTGGGAAATCTTGGAGGTGTTTTCATCAGGGAAGCTCTACGTGTCAGGGAAAAAAGTTAGCATAATTTTTACCACTTTTTAAGAAAAATAATATCTCAAAATAAACTAGAAATGATATCACAAAATAAACTGAAAATAATTTTTAAACTTCAGATAAATTGGAGCCACTGAAACTGCACATGACGCACAAGACGTCTGACGACGTGGCTCTCTTCGTCGAACGTTACAACAGAAATCAACCAAAAAAACTCAAAAAATAACAAGAACATAGCAAACGCTAACAACTGAATTATATTTCTTCCATGTTTACGCACCTCAGTTGTCTAAGGTGTGATAACTACAAAGCTGCAAGTAAATAGATTTTCCTATTTGCACAAGTACAAATTCGCGCCTTCCATTGTCTTCGAACAAACTTCTATTCCGCGACTCTGAGATACAATTTTCTTACTGCAAAAACAGAAGATTACACACAGAACGTCGACTAGTTTGATTTTATGATCACCGAATTTTCAACTTAATAAACGATTTGTAAATTGTTTGACCGTTCTTAAATAGTAACGATCTCTAAATAATAAATAAGACACAAACACTTCGGAGTCGAAACATGGAACTTAATCATCTATAAAAGTAAAATGGGCTCCAATTGGGTCTGGGTGTGCGACCGAAAACGCCGAACATTACATTACACTACACATCTATTACATTACACTATACATCCGAACACTACATTGTAACATTCATTTTCACCTTTTGGTATTAACCCATTTTCTGCTGAGGTTTTAGATTTTCGTGATTTTTATATATGTTGTAAGTACCAATAAAAAACTAATACGGTTTTTTTTCTTTTTTAAAAATTTTAATTTTTAAAAAAGTTGGAACATTTTTTTAAAACGTCCTTTATAAAAGAAGCTAGGCTAGCAGAATATGACAACCTGAGACGCAACCATTGTTTAAATTAATTTTCATTGTTATTTTCTTAACTTTCATCAATTTTATGAAACAAATAAACAAAAGATTGAAAATATAAAATAAAAAAAATATTAGTAATTAAAAAAAGTTATAAAATTATTTATGAAAATCAGGTAACCAGGCCTTTTTTGCAACATGAATTCGGAAAATAAGTTTATTTTGAATTTTAATAAATTTTACCAAAAACTTGAGTGAGAAAAATTGAAAAAACGAACTACAAACATTAACGCCAAACATTCGGTAGAATTTATAGAATATTGTGTAGATAGATAAATATATACGTAGTTATAATACATTTATAATGTTGTATTTACACATTCAAATTGTACAATTGTGTTATGGTGTTGTCTCAAATTATTTTGAATTTTCTCAGAAAATTTTAAACGTTTTACTATACTATATATACTAGTTATTTTTATCAAAAATTTAAAAATTTTATCAATAATTAAAAAAAATTTCAAATTAATTTCATTGCGATATCGATAATGATTTTTGTGACCTGACTGATTAAAAAGCATCAAAGAAAGTTAAAATAGGATGGAGAATTTGTTATATTGGGATATTCGTTTAAAAAGCGAGCAAAATTTTAATATAAAAGCGCTTATAAATCTACACATATTGGCTCAGCTTGGCTTGGTTCGGCTTGGAATCGGATGTTAAGCAAGGTGTGGTCTCAAACTATTTTGAATTCTTCCCGAAAAACTTGAACTGCGTGCGTACATATATAGCAATGATTACTGTTGTTTTTATAATGAATTTATAAAATATATAAATATAACGAGCAAAATTTTAACATAAAAGCGCTTATAAATCTATGCATATTGGCTCAGCTTGGCTTAGTTCGGCTTGGAATCGGATGTTAAGCAAGGTATGGTCACAAACTATTTTGAATTCTCCCCGAAAAATTTGAACTGCGTGCGTACATATATAGTAATGTCTACTGTTGTTTTTATAATGAATTTATAAAATATATAAATATTGCAAGCAAAATTTTAACATAAAAGCACTTATAAATCTATGCATACTGGCCCAGCTTGGCTTGGCTCGACATGGAATCGGATGTAAAGCAAGGTGTGGTCTCAAACTACTTTGAATTCTCCCAGAAAAATTTGAACTGCGTGCGTACATGTATAGCAATGATTACTGTTGCTTTTATAATAAATTTATATTATAACCCTATATATATATATATATATATATATATATATATATATCTAATAAAATATATAAATATAACGAGCAAA